TAATATACCTGATATACCTAATTATCTTTTCCTTATTTATCTATCTTTTTGTATTACTATTTTTGCCTCTAACAATAGCAAGAGAATGAGAAGGAAAAATATTATCATTGGAACCAACAAAAATTGCTGCAACATCATTCACCTGTGGTGCATTGTAAAAACGCTGATCAAGATGGCGGTCATTATCAAAAACCATTTGTACCTCCATTGGCTGATGACCTTGTTGTATTGCTACATCATGTTTCTTTTGTTCCATCTCCCTCATTATTTCGAATGCTTGTAAAATGGGCTTACTTGCTGTAATACTGAATTTAATAACAAAAGTAATGCAGGATCAAGCTTTGCATTTGCTGGATTACTATTTCTATATTCTTGGGCATCAGTTGTATCTAAGAAATAGAGCTGCCCAAAAGATGGAATATCACCTTCATTTGGTTGTGCTGATCCCAAAAAATGATACATCTGTCTCAATATCTTGTATGCATATAGTCCACGGCCAGAAGGTAACTGAATGTTTGATACAACAGAAGCAAATGCCATAGCACTATTATACTTACGAATATAGTTATAAAATGCTGAAGATATTGGATGCTCCCGAAGAAAAAGTAATCTCAGCTCATCTGGAAATGGCAGAAGAGATGGTAGTGCAACAGTACCCTTATGACAACAGGAGGTAAATTGGTCTAAGTCACCAGCAGTTCGTTCCCTTGGAAAATGAAGTGCTCCACAGTGGCGACATTCAATTTCCATTCTTCCAATATTGGCAACCTGAGGAAAATCATTTGTAAATTGCAAAGCTTCGCAATGGTGACTCGATGGTGGAGAGCAATAATTTCTTCTGGCTAAGCGTCTCTGTTGTGTATTTCGCTCTCGTTCGTGTTGCTGCCTAGCGGCTGAAAAAGTAGCCCTTTGGTTACGCTTGGCAATAGTTTTACGCACTCTCACCAATTCTGTATTCAGTCCCTTTTTTCTAAGTGGCTGGCAGTGCGTTTGTGTGGTTATTTTTTCGCTCATGTGTGTAGAGTAAAACGTGGTATGTTGAAAATGACAGAATTTAGGAATCATTATTATAGAATTAAAATTAGACTTTAGACTCAAAATAACGAAGTCAATTTACTATCATAGATGACGTTGCAAAAAAGATATTGATATGCATCAACGCGTTTGTATAGCTAAAGCGTAGTTTAAAAATGACTTAAGGCTTGTTATTAATTCATTCAGTCCGTTAAGTAGATGGCAGTGTGTTTGTAATTATTCTTTCGCTCATGTGTGTAGAGTAAAACGTAGTATGTTAAAAATAACAGAATTTAGGGATCATTATCACAGAATTAAAGTTAGACTTTAGACTCGCGATAACAAAGTCAATTTGCTATCATGGATGACGTTGCAAAAAAAGATATTAATATGCATCAACGCGTTTGTATAGTTAACGCATAGTTCATTAATGCTTACGAATAATGACTAAAAAATAAATGCTTATAGAATTCAAAACGGCATTATATATATATACAGTATATGCAGTGATATACATTAACACGTTTGTGCGGTTAAAATGCAATCATTGAAAATAACGGAATCCACAAACTTTATTAAAAATAATCACTTAAATCCAAAGTATTATAGTAATCATCAAAAATTATTTAAAGCTTAGTGTGCGTACAATATGCATCAACACCTTATTCAGTTAAAGCTTAGTTTGAAAATGACGGAATCAATTTAAAGCCTGTTACGAATAATAACTAAAAAGGTACACACTTATAGAATTCAAATAATATTGTGTAGTAATTATAGTAATCAATCTCATTGGCCAATATTTGGCGACGGACAAATGAGTTTTAATATATAGATACAAGACCTGCTATATGAAGAACAAATTTATCTAATTATAATATTATATTAACTAGTATTTCTTCAATGCCCTTAGATATTTTTAATTATTTAACAAGTGAATTTAATGAAAACAATATAGAGGAATAAATTAATAAATTAAAAAATTCTATCGGCATGTTGAATCAAAATCAAAAAAAAATTGAAAAAATTAATATAAATTTTAATTATTTAGAAAAAATAGCTATAATATTATAAAATCAACAAAAAACAATTATTGTATTGTTAGTCGTTATAATTATATTATTATCAATAAAGATTTT